AATTTCGTACTATTTACTAAAAAAAATTCGTCCTATTTATCTATTTTTTTACGAAATTTTTGTAAAATGCACAGAAATAATTCGTATATTTAACGAAATTACTTCGTAAAATCTGCGCTTGTTTCGTAGAATGTACGATTTTGCTTTCATTCTCCACACTGTAAAAAACATATTACGAATTATAACACAAGACTTTTATTTTGTTTTTATCGTTAATTTTAGGCGTTTTTGTTTAACAAAACGTTTTGCAAAAACGCTTAACATTATTGATTAAAATATAATGAAAGTGTTGTGCTATAATTTTAGTCATGTTTTTTATAGTGTTAATAATAAAATCAATCATACTTTCTACGAAAGAAGAAGAATTTTCTGACTACACTGTAGTTTAGAATTAATAAAAAAGGTTATTTTACCTATAATAAAACTTAAGTCTTTTGTTTATATGCATACGAATAGGTTCTAAATCAGGGTTCGTATTTGCACACACATGCTCTGCTCACACACACGCCAGAAACACATTCAACTTGTACTCACTGCTCATACACATGTGTGTACATAAGTGGAAAACAAACTCTGCTCACAGAAAAGTGTGTGCTGTTTGTTATTAAGCACATGCACATGTGTGTGAGTCGATTTTTGTACAAATTTCAGCCCATGCACATGCACATAATGGCTGCGTTTCTTTATACATTCCAGATAATCCCATTTCACAGCCAGAATAAACAGAATGCGTTTGAAATATACGTTAGCATATCATCGGGAACGTTCTAAAGAATAAGTAAACAAACAAGTTTATTCCAAACGTTCAGAATAAATAAAGAAATGCAACCAAAATATTTTTAAAAAAATTGTTTATTAAAGGTTATTTTTTGAAAGACAATTCAATAAAAAGTGAGATGTTGTTTGTTTTTTATATGACAGAAAACATTAAAAAATTATTTTAAGATTTGAGATAGAAATCGAAGTGTATAAGTTTCTCTACGCAAAGCACACACATGTGCGTGTGCTTTATATTAATAATACGAACCCTGTTCTAAACTACATATTTTTTTTTACTGCTTAGGCTTCATTCGATAAAGTATACTGATGCAAAGTGTTAAACTATGAGACTCAACAAAACTAAATATAATAAGATATAAAATATGAAAAATACTGGTTTGCTTTCTTAAACATTATAATATTTTTATGTAGAGGCACTTGACTGATTCGCAGCTTCATCGATGTTTGTTTCCTTGACGACTATAAATAAAAGGAAAATTATAAGGCGTCTGAAAGGCAAGTTTCAGTGAATAGTCATACATGTACTTACTTTTAATTACATTAAGTAGTGCTCCTGGCTTAGGCTTGCCGTTGATAGGTAACTGATGAAATTGCCTATTTATCAAGTCCCAAATTGCAGCGCAAGGCGCAGTGTAAGCGATGTTAAAAACATTGTATGCTCACAAGCATAGTATATCCACAGCTTTAATATTTAATGTTGTATTGTTTTTTTATCCAGCAAATCCCTTTTTATAACGTTTAAAATCATATTATACGTTTCACAGCAGCCAACAATTAGTTCCGCAATGACACGCGATACAAAAAATATGATGAAATATAAAACTACCGGTAGTTGAGTATATTGTACGAAAATATTCGTATGTTGTACGAATTTAAAAAACATGTTTCTGCAGAAGTACTTCATACGAAAGTATTAACTAAATTGTACGAAAACAGAATTATAGATTTCGTAAATTTTAAAACCATACGTAAATATTACGAATGCCTTCCTACAATATACAAAATTATTCGTACAGAGATTTGTTCAGTGCTTTACGAATGTGTTTCGTAAAATAAACGTAAGATTTCGTAAATTGTACTGAAAAAATGCCTTACGAAAGTCCTTTCGTTATATTTACTTATGGTTCGTAAAATCTTGTTTCGTTGTGAAAAATGTGTTCGTATTATGCACGAAAGTTTCGTACATTGTACAAAAACCAAGACTACGAAAGTTTTTCGTAGCACTTTTACGAAATTTTTATTTCAGTGTATGCCACACAAAAAAAATTAAATTCTTTCAAAAAATGTCAAAGTTTGTTAACAAATTTAATCGACACAAACAAAAAGGAGCTGCGACAGACACTTTGCATAGAAAAAGCATAAAAAAGTTAGATGACGAAGAAGAAGAAGAAGAAGAAAAAGAAAGGGACTAAAACAAATATTAGCTTAGTCAACATGATGGTGGTGGCGCGAAAAGAGTGCTGTTGAGAATAAAAATATGAATGAAATAAATTTCTTGAAATCTTTTGTCGTTGCCGAAACTTACAATTTTTCACAATTTTCTTTAATTTCAATGCACTAAAATATTTTCACTTTTCATTTATTTAAAAAGCCACTGGGAAACGATGTCGTCTAGCTCTGCATTGTTCTTGTGTTGCGCTTTTTAGGTTTCATTTACACAAAAATAGGAAAAACAGCGCGCTACTATCGAATGATAGCGTCATTTTAGCTGTGGGCCGGCTGTTGCTGAGGCTAGAGGATGGTACTACTTATGTATGTTTGTATGTTTGTTAACCGCCTTTTCGTCTCCATTGGCTAAACTTTCGCTTTAGCTACCTGCAATAGCTGTGGATTACAGCTTTAAGTCGAAATTTGCTTTGCACATTTCCCAGCTGCTGAGGGGCGTTGAGTACCTACTCCCGTCTCACGCCCATTTTGCAGACGCGTCAGCAGCTATCCGCTTGCTTTTACAACTTAATTTAAAAATCTGCGCAAAAGTTCAAAGTGTTGTGCGACACTTAATTTTGAAAGTTTGCCGTTCGTTTGGTTTTTGTTAAGTTCAGCTATTTTCCGCTGTTTAGCTGTCGGGCGACAACATTTTTTAAGTACAAAACTTTTTGAAGCTGTGCAATTTTTGCAGGGACGGCGTTAGTGAAAGTGAAAGAGTTAAAATACATGCTTCTGTTGCTGCCTGTTTTCGATACTTAGTAATAACTCGTTCTGTTTGGCTAAGTTAAAATTTTTTTTAAAATTAAATCGGGAAAAAATTTCATTTATGCAAAAAATGTTTAATAATTTCAGACATGGTTGCCACATTGTTTTGCCACACTTTTTTTTTTGCTACAGATTTAAAGTATTATATTAATTTAACATCCTTCAACTTGAAATATTTAAACGTGTATTGAAAACAAATGTTGGCCGTTTTAAAATATCCGTGCATAGAGTTGCCACCTAATTTTAAACAAACAATTTTTTATTTACTTTTTCGTAACTTAAATACATCCCCCTTACTACTTAAAACATTTTGGCTCGAATTGAAAATAATATTAAATATTAGAGTTGCCATATACATTTTTTGACAAAACATAATAAATTATTTTATAAATCTCTATTAAATGCAATGTGTAAATGATTGTTTATTTTATCTTTTTCCATATTTTGATTGTAATCAAGTAGGGTTACCACATCATTTTTTATACACACAATATATTTTTGGGTGGGGTTGCCATATAACTTTAACATAAATTATTTTAATATATTTTTTTTTATGAAAACTTAACATCCTCATATGGTCAAGAAAATCATAACTTCAAATTTCTCTACCCTTCGTAATTGAAATTTTTTTTAACTAAGGTTGCCAAAAAATTCAAAATTTAATATTTTTAAATATATTTTAATATAATATTAAAAGCTCAACCCATTTATATTATTACAATAATATTTTTACTTTAAAACACATATCTTTGGTTAGAGTGGCCACATAGTTTTTGGGAAAAATATTACATTTAGTATACCAAATATGGGTTAAATAAAATTTGTTGCATGCTTTGCATGTAAGTCTTGCTTCAACTTCTCTCGTTTGAGAACCATACTAAAATAATTATATTAACTTGTTATTCAAATTGATTCTGAGTTTCTAAACAGGTGGCAATCTTCTTAAAATATATAAATACATAAACACGGTCTGCATAAACTCGTTTCGATTAATACAATATAGATACTAAAAAAGGTTTCTATTAACTAACTAATTAAACTTGTAATCACTTTTTGAGCAGGTGGCAAGCCTCTTAAAAATATTTTAGAAAAAAAACTTACTTAAACCTCTCTCAATTTGATTATCATTTTAATATATTTTATTTATTTTACTAATTAAAATGATTTTGAATTTCTTTAAAGATAGCAACCTCGTCAAAAATATTTTCGGACTAAAGCTTTCTTAAAAATCTATTGTTTGATAGCCATATAGAGATATTTCTTTGAACTTGGTAATTAAATTTATTTTCAATTTCCGTACAAGTGGCAACCCTCTTCAAAAATATTTTCGAAATAAAACTTTCTTTAACTTCTTTGTTTAAAAGCCATATTAATGTGTATTTGATTTAACTTCTTAATTAAATGAATTTAAATTTCTTGAATAGGTGGCAATCCTCTTCAAACGTATTTTCGAAATAAAACTTTCCTAACCCCTTCTCGTTTAAAGCCTTATTAAAATATTTAATTTACCTTCTTAATGAATTGCCTTATACTTTTTGAATAATATTTTCTTCAAAAATATTTTCAAAATAAACCGCTTTTGAGCTCCTATCGTTGGCCACCGACATTATTGTTATATTTTATTTAACTGATAAATTAATATTGGCCGTAGTTATCGCTAAAATAATGTCGACTCTTAAGATAATTTTAGCTTTTTGAAATAATTTTAAATGTGATATCTGATCTGATCCAAAAAAAGCTACAACTAAGTTACGAGTCGACTTTATTTTGACTATTAAAAAGAGCTAGGTTTTTTTTTTAAAGATTTGTTTATATTTAGCCTTTTAAAGGGTCCCTTAGTTCCCGATAAAAAAAACCTACATGCCATTAAATTAAATAAAAGTATATCTAAAGTTTATGCCCTCTTTAATTTAAAATACCGCAATGTGTATTTATCATTAATATTTATTAAGTAATTTTACATATTTCATTTAAATAAATATTCAAACCGCATACTAATTTGATATTTTTTCCACTCTCTTTTACAGTCGTTAAATAAACGCCAGTAGTGTGGTAAGTAACCGAAAAAAACATTTTAACAATCACATGCGAACGTCAAATGTTATTATTTATTTTAGTATTTAAATAAACAGCAAATAAGCTAACTACTTTAATGTCTAATTTGCACATTTGTTTTTGCGAGTTTCATGTGCACGAATTAGCTATTACTAATTAGAAAGTAGTGTAGTAGGTACCAGAGAGGGAGCACAAAAAAGTTGCTCATACGCCATGTCAAGCGGAAAAAATTCTGTGCAAAACCGTCGTCAAGTAAATAGCAAAGCTGAATGTACATATATAAACTTTTAAAACTTCAACTAATTACACAATCAATTATTTACATAAACGCAAAACAGTAAATATAAATCAGGGAAAAGGAAAAGGGCAGCTATATTTTCCCAGGTTTATTAAATACGTACGTCGAAATGTGTGGGTTTCATATTTTTAACGGCGAAAATTGTATTAGACTATTGAAGCGTATATTGCGTTCGTATGGGTGAGTAATAGAATATTTATGCGCTACTTTATTGAGCGGAAATAGTATTTGCTTAGCTTGCAGGCACATTAAGGTGAGCTAAAAAAAACTAACCTAACGAATTTATGGCCTTGAAAAGGACCTATTTACTGAGAAGAAAATTCTCCCATTTGGAAAAATTTTTATTTCAATTTTAAAAGGAGTCGGTGGGCATTTGGAATTTTATCGTGAAAATAACATGTATTTTTTTTATTACAAATTTTATAACTTTGAGACCAAAATTTTTTCTCGCATATTCTTGCAGGGCATTAAATTCTCTAAAAAAATATACATATATGTTCATTAGGGTGCCTCACAAAAAACAATGTGCGGCTTTTCAACCGGAATTAATAAATTTTATTATAATTCAAAGCTTTCGCCAAAATATTTCGGAAAAATATTAAGATTTTATAAAATTTGTAAACATTTTTATGCAGTCTTTTTGAGCTTAAACGCTCCTATTAACTGAGGTGATTTTTTTTAGAAGAAAGTTTTAAAAACTAATTTTTTAAATTAAAAAACAAAAGTCCTTTTTTGAGATCCAGCACACGCACATACATAAAGCTTAATATTTTTCCGAAATATTTTGACGAAAGTCTTAAAACATAATTGCTTTTATAATTCCTATAGAAAAAAACAGAACCGATGAGAGAGAGAGAGCGATGTATGTACATATGTGCAAATATATATGTTTATGTGAATACATGCATGTGACACATTTGTTTCGCTATGTATGCTTTATCGAATTGTTACAGCTGGCAAATGTGGAAATGTTAATTACGCGCGGCCGTGTTTTAGCAAATATTATCGTTAATGAACTTACTAATTCAAGCAGACAAACACAAATACCAAATACATACATAGATAGGCAGTCGCGCATAATTGTCGAAACATAAATCGAAGTTGGAATAACTAAGAGGATAGGAAGGGCGTGCAAACTTCAACACCAGCTATTTCGCGTACTTGCATTAAATTGTGTATATATGTATGTATGTATTGTATACCCACATACCCACCTCCAAGCAGTGCACCACGTTTACGCATTCTGGCTCGCAAAATGGCAATTTTATTAAACCAATTAAAAATTTAGTATCAAATTAGAGCCAATAGCGATAGGCATGCCACAATTGCAGCGATTACAACAAAAACAACACCAATAACAATATATTCATCAACAATAAGAACAGCAATAAAAACACCACATCTGTGGCACTTGTGCCACTATGGCTGACCATTATTTCAATCATAGGCATATGTATTTTATGCATTAAATAAAATACATATTTCGATGAAAATGGTTACACTTGGTTTGCTTAAATTAACTTCTGGCTCAAAAATGCGGTAATAATGGTTTTTGTTACGGTAATTGCGCATTACATTAAATGTGGCAACATAAGTAAATAAGCCTGCTTCACAGTTTTATTGATTTTTAGGAAATTTATAATATATGCACATTAGAGCGGGTCATTGATTTTTGACTATGCGCGTATAGCAAAGGAGAATTGTAGGTGTAATTTTAAGCAAATTTACCGAACAAATCATGAGTCTAAAATCAATTTGGAGTTTGCGAAAATAGGTGTCGAAGATAATGTAAAAATTTCACTGTTGCGCCCTCTGGTGGAAGTTTTAAGAAAAATATATATGTGCAGAAATGCATTCTCTTTTAGAATGTGTTTATAAAAAATTTAAGCACTTCTTTTCGACACTACAGCAACTTTCTAAGAACGTTATTTTCACAATTTGGCAAACTAAAACTTGATTATAGACCCATGGTTTCTTCAGCAAAATTGCTTAGAATTACACGTAGAATCCTTCTGGGCTATACGCGCATAGTCGAAAAAATCTGCCATACTAATTGACCCGCCCTAATCTATATATATAATACGCGAAGGGGTTTTTTTTCATGATAAACGATC